TAATATTGTATTAAAATATTTAACACAAAACACAGATTATCTCAACTTAGTAAATACCTCATTATCTAAGTCTGTAAAATGACCTCTCTTCAGCTCACTTGGCTCATATATTTCAAAAATACTCTTCCTTGTGCTTTTCTTTTTAAATTGTTTCTTTGGTCTTCTTGGTCTTTCATCAACATCATCATCCAAGTATTCATCTTCTTCTTCTTCCTCTTCCTCTTCTTCATAATCTTCTTCTCCAAATTTACCAAATTCATCAAAGTCAAAATCTACTCCAAAAATATCTTGTGCCTCTTGTAATGCACTGTTCGCAATATAAATAAATTAATACTTTGTTGTGTGTATATAATACAATGTATAATAAATATGATTTTAATACTTACGCATCTGAGAATATAGGTTTCTTTTTCATACGTTTTTCTGCTAAGGATCTTCCATCCTCATCGACAATAAAATCATTCATGTCATCATCTCCTTCACTTCCTTCTTCATCAAGAGTCTCCACTTCTGGTCTATGACTACGTTCACTTCGTCGTTCTTCCTCCTGTATAATAAAATATATTAGACGCGAGTAGAGAGAATTTCTCTCAATGAATCTAATTACAATTTTATTACATATATTTTTTTGGATTTAATATTTATTTGCATGCAGTTAAAAAATACATACCACGAAAACATCCCTTTCCTTATAGATGCAGGTAAATAAATAAATAAATAAATAATATATATATATATTTAACAATTTCAAATGATAAAATAAAATAAATTGTTTAGAACTTACATCACCAGAGCCTTCAAATAGCTCAGTAGCAATAGCATCTCGTTCTTCTTCTGGTTCCTTTTCTTGTTCATCTTCTGATTCTTCATCTTGTATTCTTCTTAGACGTTTAAATCTACGTTTCTGAATTAAATGAAAATTTGTCTTAGTATATTGTTTTTCTGGAAAAAGATTATGTTCTACTTACTCTTTCAAGTTTGACACCTAAATTTTCTTCTATCAAATCATAATCTTCTTCCTCCAGTCGATCATCAAAATCTTCATCGTCGCTCTTTTTTCTCTTTTTTGTACCACCGGAAGTATCACTGTCCTCAGCATCACTCTCTTCTTCTATTGGATTATCATCAATCAAGTCTGCTACTTCTTCTCCATCATCTGAATAATAAAAACTAATTTATTCACTACAATCAATTTTAGACAAATGGACCAAAAAAAAGATGACATATTTAATTGGGAATAATCATAAATAGTAAGTTTTCACCGACCATCATCTTCTTCATCACTTTCTTCGACTGCCTTTATTTTTTTCAGCTTCTTTTTCTCATTTTGATCAAGTTCCTCTTCCTCCTAAAATAACATAAGGTTAACTCTACAATGCAGAACGATGTCATAATACGATACGTCAATGCGTGACAACATATTAAAACACTAACCTCGCTTTCTTCCGCTTCAGAATCTAAAAAGTCTGCCATTTTTAAAAAAAAAAAGTTATCTCAAAAATGTGTTGCAGATATAAGAGAAAATCGAAAAGAATTTTCGAAGAAACTGTAGAGTTTTCGTCTTCCACTGCGCCGGTTTATTAGTGCACTTAGAAGATCACGTGGTTACGAAACGTGAATATTTCATTGACAATGAGTAAAGTTTTACTTCGTTTTTATATTTTTATTTAAAAAGATGTAAAAACAAATTAATATAAAAATATAAATTAAAACGATAACACTCAGAAAAGACGTTTTCGCATTAAACTTCAAATAGGAAAGAAAAATGAACGATAAAGTGCATTCTCTTTACGAAGCGATAGACACAGATGTCGCGATATTTACTTTTGGGGATTTTCCTGTTGGTCCTACAAAGTCATGAAGTATCAAAAAAAGTGGGGAGAATTCTCCCCTACTTTTCTGCGGTAAGGGTCTGTACAATTTTTAAGGTTATATTGAATTACACTTTCTCCATTACGCTCAAATATCTATATTCTCGACAAGGTATTTTTTCTGTTTATTATTGTCTTAGAAATGAATTTTACACGGCTTACATTATTGTACTGCATGCACATTCTTATACGCTGTTTATATTTTACATAAATAGCATATATTATAAAAACAAGATTTTTTACATAATAATTGATCGCTCATACATTACTCATTAAATGCAAATAAAAATAATTCTAAACAATGGAATGCCTATACGTACAACATTACGACAAGAGTTAGAAATTATTGTTTACGATATTTTTTATAAATATTCCTATCAATAGCATTAATTTTACTTGATTATACATACATATATATTATTGTATATTATTGTATAGATTTATTTATTTAATTTGTCAATATTTCTTTGCATTTCAATCGATTTATTAAATCCTCAATTATAACAACTTCATCATCTGCCATCTGTTGTTAGATAATATGAATTACTAGAAATGAATTTCGTTTGATGTCGCTAATGTCATTTTCCTCTTTTTTTTTTCAATATATGTTTAACTCATAAGCTAACTCTAAATATTACGTGAAATTGTGGATAGAAACATTGGAGAATTACGTGTGAGATGGTCAAAGTACAAATTTAAAAAACGACCGTTATTTATCGAAGATGAGTTGTAATAAGAATCAAGACAATGATAACTTGTTGAAGAAGCTAAGAAGAAGCGAAGAAAACGAGGTTGCAAAATATAAAAGTAGTGCGGACAATAATGAAGGGCACAAATTACGACAAGGAACCGATAGTTTCCCAAATATTAATGAAAGACCAGTGGACGATATATCTATTAAATTCTTTTACAAACCACACACTATCACGCTTCTTCTTATTTCAATAGCTGCTGTAATTTATTCAGCTTTTACAAGGTACTTACGAGGAATGACGTTGATATTTAATTATGTAGATTGCATGTGTAATCGTAATTTAAAAAGTAACAATAAAATCATTCCTATGTAGGAATACCAACAATGTGGAGGACAACATGTGGGCTGGCATGTTGTGCGTTATCTTTTTCTTCCTTATTATATCAGTGCTTACATTTCCAAATGGACCTTTTACAAGACCACATCCAGTTGTTTGGAGAATCGTTTTTGGTTGCAGTGTACTTTATTTGATGGGTTTACTCTTTATGTTATTTCAAAATTATGATACTGTTAGGAAAATTCTTGTATGGGTGGATCCAGGTTTAGCATCTTTCCACATAGATATGGATAAGGAATATGGTGTTAATTGCTCAGATGTTACAATAGAAAAAATATGGAATCACTTGGATGTGTTTGCACTTGCTCACTTTTTAGGCTGGGCTTTTAAAGCTATTCTTATACGTCATCTTGGTATTCTTTGGGCTATTAGCGTTATGTGGGAAGTAACAGAAATAGCATTCGCGCATTTATTACCAAACTTTATTGAATGTTGGTGGGATGCTTTTATACTTGATGTTTTGGTATGTAATGGTCTTGGCATTTGGGTTGGATTAAAGATATGTTCTATTTTGGAAATGAGAGAGTATAAATGGGTCAGTATAAGGGACATAGAAAGTACTACTGGGAAATTAAAAAGAGCAGTTCTTCAATTTACTCCTGGTAGTTGGACTTCCGTAAGATGGTTAGATCCAACGTGCACTCATATGCGATTTGTAGCTCTTTGCCAGCTAGTTATTTTCTGGCAAGTTTCTGAGCTGAATACATTCTTTCTGAAACATGTATATGAATTCCCACCTTCTCATCCGTTCGTCATAACACGTTTGGTATTGATTGGAGTGATCGTTGCTCCATCAGTTAGGTGAGAGAATTTTTAAATAGATTAACATTAAACATTAAAATTATATTCTTTAATGCATTAACGTAATAGCTTAACATTAAAAGAAGCATGCATGTGCCTTAATTTTATACTTGTTTTTTAATCAAAAATCAAGTATATTACTACAAACTATGGAAAGAAATATTACTGCTTTTTTTTTTTTATTTATAGGCAATATTATATGTATGTAACTGATCCATCATGCAGTAGAGTAGGGACTCAGTGTTGGGTATATGGTGCCATTATGGTAACGGAAGCATTACTTTGTATCCGTCATGGTGCAGCACTGTTTGAACGGACACAAGCCTTAAACATACTTCTTTGGCTTCTTTGTCAGTCTCTAGTTTCTGTGTTATGCGTCTATGGCTGTGTTTTGTGGCATCAGTACTTTGAGGTATGTAGTATAATTATTAACTATAATTCCTTAGTAATCCTTGAACTAACTTTAATTAATGTAATGTGTGTTCCGTGCAACTTTTACATGATGCTTGCTGTTTTAGACGGATAAGAAAACCGTTAAAAAGCAGTCTGTGATCAAACTACACGAGAGCCGCTTGGATGTAACTTGTAGTGGTATGTGTTAATGCTGCATCATTCTAAAATAAAAGTGCTGTCTATAAAAATGTTATTTAAACATTGGTTGTTAATGTTTGATTTGTATTTATTAAATATAGTATGAAAACGGTGTATAAACTATACAAAACATTTTCAGGTTCCGTAAAGTTCTGTGAAAGTTATATTACTTTTTTAACATTCTTATATTTAACACTTGTATTAAAGAAATAACTAATCTATTCAACTGTGGTAAATTATTATAAATATATATATATATATATATATATATATATATATATATATATGTATATACAATAGTAAAGAATTTTTATTAATATCATTTTTATCATGTCTATTCAAGCATTAAGAAGTTATTTTAAATTTGGCAATATTATATTTTTTGTTATAGGGGATATGGCACACCACGCACAATCTGTGGACTCGATGGATAAAAAAGAACAGTAAGACGGTACCTTGTAATAATTAACCAAATTAATGGTTAATTTATCATACTATGCAACTTTCTAGTCGTTCTGAAGCGTACGAATGAATTTGTAAGCTTAGCAAAATAGGACTGGATATATGTACGTACGTTTTAATTGTTATGAGCGTATGAATGAGTGTTTTGAAAAAAAATCTTGTTCCTGAGAATAAATGCAAAATATTGTTATTAGTAGTACTTTATCTTAAAAGATAATTTTTCTTTGTGTTATAATCAGTTGGAAAAGATTACGGTATCTTCTGATTCTTTGAGGTATGGAAAGACATCACAAGTAATACTGGGGACAATTTGTGATCCTTTAGAACAATTCCATGTTTCGCCCAGTAAGTTATTGTTAGATGCAGAAACGAAGACACGGATACGGCTAGGTAATTCTTCGTTTTCATGAAGAGAGATATAAGATGTTGTCAATAACGATTTCGTACAATACATCTGTAAAATCCATTATAAATATTTTTGGATTTCAGAGAATATTGCTGTTATTGCAGCTTTATTTTGAGAAAGAGATAATAATTAGCAATAATTTAAATTTAACTGTGAAAAGGTACCTGAGCATAAGTAAGGTAGAATAATTGATTTATGTTTGGTTCTAGCCACGGAAGATAATTCTTTGAAAACGATCGTAGCCTTTCAAAAGTATCATGTGTTAATCTAAGTCCCATGATTTCGGAGAAATATTCGTTTAATGTTAATTCTGAAATCTAAAGTAGATTTATATGAGACCAGTATTTAAAAAAATAATATGTGTGCCATGCGATCTGTGGTGGTAGTTATATATTACCTTAAAAGATATTTTCTGAGAAGTAAGTGGCAGTGTCATGTTCATCTTTTCTTTGTAAATACTATCTTTATGGCAGGATATATAATCTTCAAACATTGTATGTTTGCTTACCAGAGAATAGATAGTGTTTCGAGTTTGATTCCAATAGTGCATACCTTGGGTATAACAAATGCTGCCATTATTTAATAATAAAAAAAATGTCTCAAGGCCTTTTAATGCTATTAGTTAAAAAGCTATATTATCAATTATTTTATATGTAAATTATATTTATATAACTATATTACCATTTGGATCAAAATGATGAGAAATTTGACGCGCTATTAAATTGCCAATTGTCGCCCATGTTAAATAACTAAATGAACTTTCATAATTTGATATAAACACGTCACCATAATCAATTGCACCAAAAGGTATAATAATAAGATTCAAACTATAAACTGCAACGCCTTTCGATTGAAAAGGTGTAGCATAGTGTGTCCAACTGCAATGTAATATATCAAAATAAAAAATCTCATTGACATAAGTAAAATAAATATCTATATATACGTACATTTGTTTTGGTGTATCAGGATTTATCTCTGATGATATTACAGAATATATTGATAATCTATATCTTCTCATCAAATTTAAAGAGTTTTCCAAGTAATTGTCAGATAGATTCAACTAAAATTAAACAATATTATAGGAATATAGGAAAATAACATAATTTATGCAATTAATAAAAATATTTGTAGCATGTCATTTACACTTGGGAAAATGCAATTCTTTGATCTCACGTCTATTAGAATCTCTTCTATACCTTATATTCTTCTTCGTACTGAAAGTATGAAACTTCCGGTATAGAGAGCTTAAGATCATTTATCTTTGACAGCAATGCTTGACGTTCTTCATCTGTTACCCATGATCTCTTTTTTATTTCTAGTTTTAAAGTTTCTTTTAGTTCATCAAAGAGTATTCTTACCTAAGCATTGGAGCAATGATATTATATTCTGTGTATGATTTTACTATATTTCATTATATTCTTACCGTACGATTCATAAATGTAATCTCTTTATTAGACAGTGAAGACATATACAAGTTAGAGGCTTCAGATCTTAATAGATTTGTACTAACTTTGAGGCAATGTTGTTTCATATCTTGATTTTTTGTTATTATTAACTACAAAAAATGATTAATATATTAATTAAAACAAAACATTCTTGATGTTTTAATTAAAGACACATACTTCATGATAAAGTTTTTGTGCATATAGACTTAAAATAGCATTGTGAAAATACATTGGTTCGTTCTTCCAAAAAGCTTCTAAATTTTGTAAACCTTTTACTAATTCTTCATAAAAATAAACTTGGAATTTTGTATTTACATTTTTGGATATTAATGAAGTTGTTAAATTATACCAATTTATCTGTAAATATGTTTAGATAAATTTTTATTATCAGAATAGATAAAATTAATATTTAATTAAATATGATGCTCACAAATGTAGTTGTTTTATTTAATTCATCTATTGACACTTCAGTATAATTCTTCATTAAATATGCTTTACGAATTTCGTTCTCAGATGGAAATAGCTGCCAAAATGAAAAAATTAGTAGGTAATATACATAAAATATATAAAATATATATATAAAATAATATATATAAAAGAATAGTTTTACTTACAGAAAAGAATTTCTGCACTATTTCGTTATCAATATTAAATACTGTAATGCTCACATTTTGCTCCATGTTATCAGAATTATTAAAAACTCCAAGTGCCTTTAAAGCATTTGTTATAGAACTTACAAATCTTGTATTATTTTGCTTTAAGGAAATATATGAAATACATTGTTTTAATTTATATAACTTTTATTAAATCTTAGTATATTTTCACTTTGTACCTTGCATGTTGTATAGTCTTCATAAATATCTTCAAGATCAACAAATTGTTTTTGTATTTCAGCTTCACTTGCATAGCAAAAATCATCTGTGTTTTCACTATCAAATAGATTTTTATCAAGTACAGGTCCTACTCTGATAGTATATGAACTTGGATTGTTTTCATCAAGATCCACAGCCACGTCAAATAATAAAGGGCTTAATACGAAATTAATGTGTTAACATAGACTAGATCTTTCATAACATCACTTTAAACTCACCTATAGCTTTTTAATAATTCAGCATATAAATTCGTGAAATTACTCTTAAATTCTTCGTGATCAAATCTTTGTATTTTATTTATTGCTTCATTTACTAAAAGATATTCCTTTGTATTTAACAATATTAATTGCATTAAAATTGAATACTTACCTATCACTATTCTTTCATCTATATTTATATTTTCATATTTCATACAACTGTTGTAGTATTTAGTAAATGGAGAAGGTGGATCTCTATTAGCATCTTTCAACATTTGTTCTGTAAGTATTTGATAATTTTTAGAAAATTTTGTCAATTATTTAAGATATGATTATATAATTTTAAAGTCAGAATTACACACCAGCTATTCTGTGATATGCCTTGTTTGCCAAATTTAGGTCTATGATTTGTGGATCTGCTATCATTCCACCACAAGCATATTCATAAAAATCTTCACATGGATCAGCAGAATGATTCATATAGGATAATATTTTAGCAGCTATTTGTTTGCATTGTCCTGAATTACATATATTATTTTCAATATCTGTAATATAACTATCTGTAGTAAAAATAGACTCTGTGTTTGATGTCATAAATGTATTTGTTACAAATTCGTTCATTATTACTGTTTCCTTTGTAAAGGTATTTTCCACTTGTGGAAGTAAAATTTTCATAAAGTCTGTTGATTTTGATATAAATTCAATAGGTTTATAAGTTGTTGATGATAAGAATTGATTAGTAGAATTATTTATTAAAGAAGAATTGTTTTTTTTAGTGATATCTGTTATAGTAGACAGATCAGATGTATTTAGATAGAAAAAAGGTGCAGTTGTTATGTTATTTAGTTTTTCTGTAATAGTATTTGTATTATCCTTAGAACTAATTTGATCAAATGAAGAACTGTTAGAAACAAATTCATTATCTGTAGAAATAGTTGAGTATTTAGTAGATACTTGACTATCAGATTCAGTTTTATCAATACTTTCGTTTGTTGTTTCTGCAATTATTGTTAAAGTCATTGTAGAACTGTTTTCTTGTTCGTTTTCAGAAACTTCATTTTCAAATAAGATTGTATCAGTAATATTGCTATAATGAACTTTTGGCTCTTCTGTAGATTCCATTCTTCTAACAGTTGTACTAATTCGATTTTGTAAATTTGTTGTTATAATAGTATCATTACTCAGAGTATTTATAATATCTGATGGACTTCTCGAAGTACTCATTTCTAAAAATTTTTGCATTGTTGTATTGTTTTCAAAGTTATGAGATGTCTTTTCATTACTAGATATATATTCTCCTGTAATAATGTCGATTGATTTGTCGATTGTGTTTCCAGTTGTAGTTGTAGTTTCTTCTGATTTTTTATATCCATTATTATATTGCTGTATGTTGTCATCTTTCATAAATATTAAATGTGTTAAGAAATTAGAAATTGTTAATATTTATTATACTTACGTATCCCATTAAGTGTTTCTCATCAACGTTAGTTGAGGAAGGTGAAGATGAAGAAGTATTAGTTTTTTTCCATAATAAATTTGCAATAAGAACGAGCAAGAATAATATAAAGAACACAAATAGCGTAGCTACACAATTTCTAAAAGATTGATCTCTTTGTGCTATTTTACGATCTTTCTGATTTGCAATTTGATATTTTCCACGTGAAGGCATCTTGCTTTTATTTTCACTAAAGATTGTTTTCTTCGATATTTATTATCTGTGAATTAAAAAATGCAACGCAAAAAATATTTATTCGATTACATAGATATCTATTATTATCCGTATAATCACAAAAGAAACAAAATATTTTGATCCTATTTGTAAAATATTGATAGGAAATGTACAATTTGAATCTTAACCATACAGGTCTCTTCGTCCAAATTGACTGTAACGAACATATTTTCTTGACGGTTGGTCTTAACTGGAAAGGCTTGCGGTTTTGATAACCACATCCTTCCGAATACAATCAATTAAAGATAGGCAAGATTCACGTCACATATGTAAGATTATTTCCTTGATTAGTTTCTCACTAATGAGATAAAATATATATTGTTATTTCTATGCATCGACATTTTTTTTCTATTCAATTTTAATGTCGTTGGTTCAAAAGACAATAATTAAAATATTTAACATAGAGAAATATAAGTTACTTATGTTGTTAATATTTATAATACAATTATCACAGATATGTAAACTACAAAATATCGTACGCTATTGTAAAATGCAACCTGTAGTTTTTCAATGATCCCATTGCACGTACTATGACAATAACTTATTTATATTATAGGCTATATAATTTAAATAGGATTAAAAAATATATTTAAAAACTATTCGCCCGTTTGCTGCATCGTGTATATATCGGTGTTGCGTTTTATTTCATTTTCGGTCGAATCGCATCGTATAAGTGCTTCGATTGTCGAACCAATATCTCTCGAAATCGGATTGCTTCCTATTTTTTTAATGTTCGAATCATCTTTCGAATCATTTGATTTTAACATTTCCGAGGTAATCTGCAATCAAAAGAATTAAAAAATTATATTTAATTGTTTAGGAAAAAACAATCTTTGTAAATGTTAAAAAGTTAAAATGTTAAAAAAAAAAATGTTATTACTTTTCTTTGTATTTCATCAGCCTTAAATTTCTCTAATTTTTCCTTATCGGCGACTCCAATAGCAGCCTTTGATGACATTTGTCTCTTTGGAGTAGGTTTTCTTGGCTTGAATGAACCAGATGCTTTTTTAGGCAACTGGGAACTTGTGTGCTTTTTAGTCTCAATTGACTGATCACAATTGTGAGTAATTAATTGATCCTTAGTTTTAAATGCCTAAATATTATCATATGAAATAAGTTAATAATTATAATTTTCAACATTTACATAAACTAATATAAATTAATACTCACGTGTGAACAAATATCACATTTTAAACTATGTTTGTTCATTTCATGATGTTTGAGTGCTTGCGCCCGATGAAAATTACGATTACAGTGACTGCAACTGAAGCGTTTAATATTACTGTGCGTGAGAAGATGCCTTTTTAATTTATCCGGACGTGAAAATTCACTCATACAACCCAAGTATCCTCTAAATGGACATTTTAATCTTTTTGTTAAGTCGTGAATCAGCATATGACGACCAAGTCGATCCTTTCGTTTAAATCTAGCTGGACAATGCTAATATTAAAAAATACATTGAAATAAGTTTGTTACATATTAAAATTTGTTAATACAATTATACAAATGTGAAATAAAGTATACACGTACTGGACACAAAAAAGGTGTTTCCTCGCTATGAATTAATTTGTGATTGGCTAAATATTGCTCTGTTTTAAAGGCTTTACCACAGTCTTCACACGCAAATCGAGCAGATGAAGCATGTGTTTTTAAATGCCGTCTTAGAAATCTTTCAATCAAGAAACTCTTTCCACAATGTAAACAAGCATAGTCATGTGTGGTGGTTTCTGTATGATGTTGTAAAGCTTCCAAATTAGAAAATGATGATTTGCATATAGAACAACAATAATATTTTTCTGTCGTTTTTTGTTTTTGGACGGAATGAGCATATTGATGGAGTCCTAAGTCTGATAAAGTATTAAACACTTCACCGCAAACATGACAACGATATTCCGACCGTTTGTGACTACGAGTGTGCTCCAAAAAGTCTTCTAGTTCGGCAAACATCATACTACAACTACTTTGCACACATTTGTACACTTTCAGTGCTAGATGAGAAACTATGAGATGGCCCTTTAGAGCTTTGTACGAATCAAATATTTCTTTACAAAACTGACAGTGATAGGTACGATCTATACTTCCATCTGGTGGAACCTATCAAATACTACTAATTAATTGCAAATTTAATATATAATAAAATGATAAACTTATATTATAATAATAATACCTCAGGTGGTAGTGAGTGTATGGCAGTGCCAGGCCACACTTTATGTGATGACATATGTTTTTTTACATTAGACTTTTGTGCAAATGCTCTTCCACACACTACGCATTGATAAGGTTTTTCTCCTGTATGAGACCGTTCGTGTTGTTGCCAGTAAAATTTTTTTGCGAACTGTTTACTACAATAACCACATTTATACTGTAATAACACAAGTAAATTTTTGAATAAAAATATAATATATGTAAACAAATTAATATATTTGAAAAAGAGAATGAAAATAATGTGTACTTTTAAATTTTGTGCTTGTTCCACATTTTCCAATTCTATTGATACTGTGTCAGGCGATAATGTTTTACAATTTATAGAATTAATCAAATTTTCTTCTTGAGAGATATCACTTTGTAAAATCTGGGATATCTCTTTCGATTCATTTTTCATAGGTTCATTATCTCCTATGATTCCAGAATTTGTGAAAGCATCAAGACCTTCGGAACTTAATATAATTGGAACACTAAATGTAGAGTCAGTTGTAAAGTAATTTGCATTTTCTTGATCCATACTAAAGAAAAAACATTATAAGAGATTTGTATTAATTTTTAAGAAAATTAACATCAAAAGTAGAGAAAATCTAACTTACCTAAACAACATATCAGTTTCTTCGAGTATAATAGATCCTCCGAGTTGATCCGTCCTTACAAATGTTTCTTGAGGATTATATTGCGATTCATCTTGACTAGTATCTTCAGCACGTACAATATGACTCTCGTCATTTACTAAAAATTGACTCAAATCCACCGTTTGTTCTTGCGTTTTTTGATGTGTCCTTTTATGTAGAACGAACATGTGAAGCGACGTGAATTGACTTTTACATTTTCCACACTGAAATATATCTTCTTCATCTTGATCTATTGCTGAAATGAGAAGAAATGAACTTATACTATGAACTTGAATTCATTATGAAAAATGCTTAGTGAACGTAATGTTCTATGCATACCTGACTGTTCTACTTCGGTAATAAGATTTTGAGATTCTATTAAAGATTGTACAGAAGGGCTATCGAGTGAAACACCTACGAAGGGATACGAAACGACGTTAGTAGCAAATTTATTCTTTTCTTCTTGTAAATTATCTTATTATCCTCTTGAGTCTTTATTGGTTAACCCCACCTACTGAAAACACTCGCAAGTTTTACCTGTCAGAGCGTCGAAAATAGATTGTGCCATATTTCACTGTAAATTTAATGCTTCATTTTAAAAGAAAAGCAACAATCAGAATGCTTCATGAGTGGTCTAATCTGTCAAAAAAATGCAAACATCCAGTTGAAAACATATCGAAAATTCCTATGCTGTGACAGCGTTGTTGCTGCCTAAGGCAGTGTATGGTAATCGATATGTCGACCAACAACAACGATTCTATCTTTTAAATCGACTATACACATAATATCAATGTGAGTGTACGGAATGAATTTCCTCTATAAATTTTTTTCTGTTTTCAATTAGTAAGAATATTTTTTGAACAAGGACAGTAGCAATAGTCAAAACTAAAAGTGTGAGTCATTTTGTCATATATTTAACAATTCGTTTAACAATTTTTGTTCGTAGAGTTGTCTTTAAAAAATTGATTGAATTAAAAGAAAGATATTAATGATTTATTAAGTTAAAAAATAAAAATAACAATTAAATATAATTGTTGATGTTTAAATTCGTGGATTATGATTATTTCTTCCTTATTTATTATTAATGTGTATACAAGGTTAAATTAAAAAATCGATAATCGCGTGATAATCTTGTGATAATCGAAAGTGGATAGCTTTCAAAAGCTAACAGTAGATGGCGTTTCGTATAACATTGGCAGCACTGCGTAGTTAAGAGGCTTGAAAAAGCTACAAATAATTTTGGGTAGTGGCTTTGCGAGCTTCCCGTAACGTTGTAACCTTAATAGTTCTCATTTAGATTAAATCGTGTTTAATAGTCGTTATTAATGAGTCAACTGTGTCCTCCGAAAGAGTCTTAGCAGATATTTGTTGTATAAACGCGATAAAAGTGTCTATATTACACGAATTAGTGGTGTTCCATCGCAGTGCCGGTTTGTTATTGCATCTACTTAGAAAGAAGATTATTAGGCAATGGGAAACATTCACACTTGTGGTCCAAACGAAGCCCTCGTTGTATCAGGTACATTTAGCATTATTTATTTAATATTTATATTACTTCAAGCAATGCGGAATGTTGATTTAGGACTGCTATGCTTGAATCTTGAATGAATCATACAATCAAATTGAATGACACTTAATATTAATTTATATTAATACTTAGTTGTTAAAAGATTGACGCATGCAAAATTTATCTCTATGCATTTTATCATACCAAAAAAATATTTCTAATTTGTATAATATTTATATGTTTGGTTTAATATCAATAATTTGTACCTTTGAAAGAGTTTTAGACAAAACAGACATTTTTACTTCTTCTCTCTCTTTTTTTTGTTCTTTTTTTTTCTTTTTTTTCTTCTTCAATTTGAATTAATATCTGTTTAAAAACAAATATCATTGTAAAAGTTATATCGGAATCAATTTTTAAACAATTGTCGTTAAAAGGATTGAATTTTGTGTTGCTACATCTATAAGTTTATCATCTATGTAATATAATCTAGTATTAGGAATTATATAAATTGTTCGATAAAAAAGAAAAAGGAATTACTGACTATAATTTTAAACTTAGAATGATAAATGAATTGTATTGGTTATAGGCTTATTAATACAATTGATTATAAGATTAAATGTCTAATAAAACACTAAACGAATGGGATAAGTTTATAACTCGAGGCAAGTTGATATATAAGTATTACATTAATATTTTCGATTTTCAAGAAAAACAATTAAAAAGTTTAAATCAAATATAGTTTAAATAATTATTGCATATATATATATATACTCTATAATTATACAATAAAATAATCATGATTAATTAAATATATATATATTTACGTTGTATGTATGATTATATTGCTCAAGCGCGTTCATGGTATAATTATTTCTCGTTTATGATCACGCGAAAATCATCGAATACAAATACATATATATATATGTATTATTTCTCGTTTATGATCTACCATGTCATTGAGCAAGTACGATCAAATACATAACGAATATACGATTAATAAATAAATGCCGACTTTTATCAATAATATATATATATATATATATATAAATATATATATATATATATATATATATATATATATATATTTAATTAGCCATGATTATTTTAGTTTATAATTAGGTGAAACTGTAAGAAATATTAATAAAACATTTAATTCGTGACTTTAGTTCGCCACTAGAAGTCTTGCTTCAACGTTGGATATTTATGGAAATGAGTCATCTTATTGAATGAGATTGAAATACACGTGTTCAACGTTTTTCTTTTCTTTGTCGAGATATTTTATTTAATACTGTTACAATTTTATATTATTACGATTATTTCTAAAAAAGAGTTTATAAAAATAAAATTATTTTTCGCATTTTTCTTTTTTTTTTTTTCCCCCGAACATATAATATCCACCACATGTTAGTTTATATGATATATGTTAATATATACGTAAAAAGTAAATTATTTCCTTATCGCTTCATGGCACTTGTTATTGCGAATAAAACATTCGATGAATCAATTATGTGAATTACCGCGTTGGGGATTATCAATGACGTCGAATATTTCATATTTTATTAGATTGAACACGATTGTATAGACGTAAAGAATAAAACTTGGGATTTATTTATTAATTGTATATTCGTATATTATATATTTGATAGCACTTGCGTGAGCTCAAGGACGAGGTAGATCATAAATGAGAAACAATTATATCATGAACATGTTTGACCAATGTAATCATACATCGACGTAGTATTTACTTCAAGTTTACTATGCGTGTTAGTCGAATGAACGAACTAGCTAGTTACTTCCTGTTGCGTCTCTCGACCAATCTTGTTTGATCATATCAGCAGCTTTTTCACCGATCATGAAGATACCAGCATTTACGTGGCCGATTGGTATAGTGGGCATAATAGATGCATCGACTACTCTGAGATTTTTTATACCATAAACTCTTAAACGCGAATCAACGACAGCATAGGGATCAGTTTTGGGTCCCATTTTAACGGTTCCTATCTCGTGATTCATCATGAATGGTAAATATTTGATAGCACATCGCCAATAATCGTCGGTATTAAATTCATAGAATTCGCAGCCGGGTATTTTGATATCGTGTAATCGACTATTGTATGCAAGGAAAGGTTCCGTTTTAGATACGTTGATGGCATGTTTTATACCTTCAAGTAGGATTTCGATATCATCAGGATGAGAAAAGAAATTAGGCTCTATCTTGGGTGGTACGAAAGGATCTTTCGACGTCAGGGTAAGACGACCAACACTTTTTGGACTTTGAATTATCGGCCAGATCGATAAGCCATCTCTATTTTCGATCGGTTTATAAACTGTATTATAAAGGTCGTCCGTCATTCGTATATTCTTTCTAATGTCTAGACCCTTGTCTGAATGTATCGAACCTGAAGCAAAAAGAAGTTCGATGTCTGGCTTTTCAGATGGAGCATACTTCGTTCTTATAAATGCCAAAGCTTCGGCACCACCAGGTATAGCGAGGTAGCCATTTCTTTTAAACGCATACTCCCATAACGAGTGCGGATTAAACACTTTACTTTGTGATAGAGATACGGGTTGATCTATTAAGAAGGTTAGACCGAGGAAACCGATATGTTCGTACATGTTATATCCGACTTTAGAATCTTGAATCACTTGAATTTCCAGCTCTTCGAGGTGTTCCTTTGGTCCTATACCCGAAAGCATAAGTAGTTTGGCAGAATCGATCGTACCCGCGGATAAAAGCACTTCTTTCGTGCTAAATACGAGTTTTTTATTGTTATTTTTGATGTATTGGATGCCGTAAGCTTGGCGATTTTCATCAATAAGAACTTTTGTTACTCTGGCGCCAGTTACGATGTCCAAGTTAGGTCGTTTCACTCTAAGATAGGCTTTTGAAGCGCTACAACGCGCTCCCTTGTCCATGTTGAGTTGTAAATATGAATAACCTATTCGTTTTTCGCCATTATAGTCGAGAACATCATAACCGAGTATTTTACCAGCTTCAAGAAATGCTGTGGATAGCTCAGTATGAAAAGGAACGTATTCAACGCACAAGTATCCATCTTTTCCGTGATATGGTGAATTAATAATACCTGTAATGTATTAATTAATTTTATTCAATTTGCAATATTTCCTACTTTATAGATTTTATTTTAAACATTTCTATAAATATTTCTAAGTAATGTACAAGTGAGATCTCGAAAGAGAAAAATTTCAAGATATTAGTCGAACGAAGGATGATTCGGTTAGTCTGACTAACGTTCAGGCTCTAGTGAATAGACAAGAAGGGTGAGTAATCGAAACGTGACTACTCTCGTTGGAGGGTTAAGACACCCCTATTTTGGGGTAACTGAGGTCCAAGCGATCCAACGAACTAAAATGTTTTATATGAGTTTTCCATTCAAATATCATTCACTGTATTATATTTTGTTTGTTTATAATATTTCTTGTTGTTTACGTTATTTGGATATTAGGTATATAGTTAAAAAATAAAGTGAATGGGTTTGATTTGAACTTACCAGGAACGTCGAATTTTTCACTCTTTATGTAATATGGTAGAATCTCTTCGTAAGACCAGCCTTCGTTGCCCAAGGCCGCCCAGTAATCATAGTCCAACTTGTCGCCACGTGTAAAAATCATATAATTAATTGTGCTGGTTCCACCGAGTGATTTTCCACGTGGCCAAGCACATTGCCGATTGATCATTCCAAAACAGGTATTATTTTGAGGTTCTACATTGTAACCCCAATTATAGTCCGTCCTTTGGAGTATATTAACGAATATAGGAATCTGCTGTATCAAGTTTTCCGGATAACCTGCTTCCAACAATAAGATCTTCCAATTTTTATTTTCTGATAAACGATTAGCGAGAACCGAACCTCCGGAACCTGCTCCGACTATAATAAAATCGTATTTCTCCCATTTAGGGTAATAAATCGTCTTGATTTGTACATCCTTGTCCTTATATTCTTTTAAAAGATCGAAAAATGTTGCACTTCTTACCGTAGATATTAAAGAAAGTAATGATAATACAATGATTATTCGTAACATCATGTCGAAAATCAATTATATAGAAGAATTTTTTTCTTACTGTCACATTAATTTACGAACACGTGAACAAAGAAATTAAAAACAAATACTTTTCGATACTACCTTTTATAATCTTGTGCTCTTGTGAAGCGTTCAAAGTTAACTGACCGGTTTCTATATATATATATATATATTTTAGAAATTCACTTTCTCAAAGTACTTACATAACAACTTGTAGGTCTTTACGATCTTTTTTTTTTCTATACTCATTTTATCACGAATTTCATTATGATGGACCACTATCAAAATAAGATTATTTTAATTATTTTTTCCAGAGGATTTATTATTAATTTTTTTCGACATATACCTACTGCCATTAATTTTAATTTCTATTGGCAATGTTTTCTATAAAAAAAATTGTTTGTCTTGTGCTCGGAAGTATTAAATTTGTTTAAAGAGAGTGAAACACAGAAAATAATTGTGTGTGTGTGTGTGTATAGAAGTATATATGTAGAAGAAAATAACAAGTTTGTCGGACACTCAATCTCACGTAATAAGAAATAAAAGAATACTTATATATAATACTCAGTCTTTTTCAAAACACAATCATTGAATACTGCCTTTCATATTTTTTCTTCTTTCTTTTATAACAATATCAGCTTGTTTATCAACTTATTTATAAAACATGCTAATAATCGAAATTTTTGCTGATGGAAGACAAAAATAATCGAATATTGCAAATTCTTTCTTAAACAATTATCCTTACGATTTTCTTATTCTTATCGTATTTTTTAATATTTCTTTACATAATATTTTTATTATTATGTATCATATTTTTTAATGGTAAATAATATATACAGGTAAAATATATACATATATTTCTTCTTATACGTATCATAATATTTACAATTAATCTTATATTTAAAAGAAAGATGAGAATTAAGAGAAATAGAAGAAAATAGAAATAATACACAATCGTTCGATTAGATTAAGCGCTATTAGAATTTTATGGCACACGGAAATAATTATACCTGAGTCGTGTATATTTTTAACTAGCACTATCCTTGCTATGTTAAAAATCTTCCGTCGTAAAATAGACATCAATTGTACACATAGCTCCTGGTTTGGTTTTTTTTCTGCTTGTCCCAGTCTTTCTAATTCATACTTTCAAATATATCGAACGTAACAATATCTTTGTTAATTATTTCCTTTCCCTTTATCTTTTACCTTCTATTAGTTAACAAATTTTTATGAAAGTTTTATAGTAAGTTTTAAGTATTGTATTAAGTATTCATTAAAAGATTTTTAACCGGGACTCAAACCCAGGTCTTCCGCTTTGTAACCATTAAGCTATCTAGGTCCTTCGGTCAATCTCTTCACGAATGCCTATTTATATTAAATGGAGATACTCGTTCCCACACTATCATTTGGTTGAATAAGATAACCAATCGCTCTTGATGAGATCTGCACCTTTTTCACCAATCATGATAGCTGGTGCATTGGTATTACCACTACAAATCGTCGGCATTATAGAGGTGTCGATGACTCTTATATTTCGGATACCATAAACCCTTAGTCTAGGATCCACAACTGCTGTAGGATCGTTTTGAGGTCCCATTTTCGTTGTACCGACCGGATGATAAATTGTCATGGAAATATGACGAATATGACACTCCCAGTAGGCATCTGAACTGAATTTAAGATGTCGACAGCCAGGTATCTTCAGTCGATGTAACCTAGTACCAAACTGTTTGAAAACTTTCGCTTCGGCGAGTTTAACAGCTATTTTCGCACCTTCAACGAGAGTGGCTATGTCTAACGGATCGTCGAAGTAGTTAGCGTCAATTATTGGATTGTGAAAGGGATTAGAGCTTTTTAGTTTAACTGTACCACGTGATCTGGGTCTGAGGAGAAGAGGTATGAAAGTGAAGGCATCCTTATTTGCAATCGGATCGTAAACAGTGTCGTAAACTTCGTCTTTTATTCCCAAAACTTTTTTGATTTGTACGCCACCGTCCGAATTAAGCGACGCCGGCGCCATGTGGATTTGAATGTCAGGATAATCGATAGACTTGTTGGCAAATTTTGTGTTGATAAAAGCATATCCCTCAATACCACCGAGAGTGGTCATAGGTCCTTTTCCGTTGGCTGCGTAATGCATAGTCACTGGTGCGCCATAAAAACGTTTTTGAACTATCGCTACCGGTTTATCGACGAGGAAAGTAAGACCGCCCATTCCTACGTGATCTTGAAGATTTTCACCGACTTTGAGATCTTTCAAAAGAGGTATGCCAATCTGACGAAGATGTTCCTTTGGTCCAATACCGGAGAGCATAAGAATTTGAGGGCTATTTATAGCACCTGCTGATAGAATTACTTCCTTGCGAGCTCGAACGTATTGTTTACGACCATTTCTCACAAATTCTACACCGACAGCTTTCATGGTGAAAGGATTGATAACAATTTTTGTCACGTGCGAATTCATAGCCGTGTGAAAGTTCCTGCGTAACCTTATAGGACGAAGAAAAGCTTTTGCCGTGGAACACCTGCTGCCTCTTCGAATAGTTCCTTGCGGTATCATAAAACCGGTTTGAAATTCCCCGTTTATATCTCTCAAATCGTAGCCTAATTCTACACCAGACTGCAAGAATGCTACAGCGAGGGGTGTGATCCATGGTGATTCTTGAACGGTCAAGTAACCACCCGTTGAATGATAAGGATTGTTTCGAAGATAGGGATTCCTGTTGTCTTCGGATTTTTTGAAATAATAAAGCGCTTCTTTGTAACCCCAACCAGGATTACCTAAGGCTTCCCAATAATCATAGTCGTGTCTATTACCTCTAACATAAAGCATGTAATTTAAAACGCTCGATCCTCCGAGAACCTTCCCTCGTGGCCAATTACAACGGCCACCTTTCATCGCGAGACAAGCTCTTCCCGTAGCTTCAATCTTATACTTCCAATCTAATTTAGTTAACTGTAGATAGGCAGCTAACGAGGGGACATCTGTTATTTCGTTTTCGTCCGGTCCAGCTTCCAGTAATAAAATGTTCCAATTTGAAATCTCAGAGAGTCTGTTTGCTACAACAGCACCTGCCGATCCTCCACCGATCACGATAAAATCGTATTCAGGATTTAGAGGGTATCTATCGATAGGTCGACTTTCTGGATCCAGCTGATCATACTGATAGTAAGATAGAGCAGCTATAAGAAGTGGTACCAACCAAAGACCAGTCCCTACTAAGCCTAACGCACCTTTCAAAGCCGTCGTTATGACTATCGTACTGAACACCATCCTTTTCGTTACTTTTTGATAATGATTAATGAACCGACTACTGGTTAAAGTAACAGTTCTCTTTTTATTTTTTGATGCAAAAGCCGACCTAATTTTTTTTCTCCTTTCGAAACGACTTTTATACAGACTTCGTCATAAATCGATATCCGGCGGTCGGCTACAATAAATGTTTTCAACTCTGCGCACTAGAAATGGGTGGTCGACATCGGTCCTTTTCATTCTGAGTTGGCTATCGCTAGCCGTACTTCCATGGAAATTCTCGACCTTCCTGAAAAAAAAGGAAAACAAAAAATGCAGTGTATATTGTTTGTTCGTTTGTTTGCGTGTCTATCTTTGTGTGCGTGCGTGCGTATGTGAGTGCGCGTAATTATCTTTTCTCATTCTTGTATAATAACCATTACAATGTTTACTTTGTATAAAACTCGATGTGATATTGTAACAGTCTTATGAAAAGTGACGAAAGAAAGTTCGGTCAGAGATTTTTATATTGAAAACACGTGCGAATCGGCAGGATCATCTCGTTTCTCTTTCTCATTCGTTTCGTTTAAAGACAAGGAGATGTTGCCGATCGCATAACGGGGAAAGGTGAAAGCGCTTTGCTAACATAAACCTCGTTTATGTTCGGTTTCTTCTGTGAGAGTCATAATTACATTACACATCTTTGAATTTCTTTATTCAGATAAAAGATAACGTAGGACTTTCTTGTTAGTTCATTACCAATTTAGATTTTCGCGATCAGTATGAACATTCTTTATCAAGCTGCGAATTAAATTTATTATGTATTATACTTTCTCGTCGGAATTAAGATAATATCGGAAGCAGAATAAGAAAGGATTGAGAGTTCTTGGATAAAACGTAAATTTCGCGTGTTGTTAACGAGGAACGTAACGCTGTACTTTCTTTACTTTTCCTTCTGAAATAATTTGTTGGATTGGACACCGGAAGTAGAGGTTTATTACATATGAGTTCCGGGATAATCATTACCATTTCTTTCATGTTCCTCTTGATGCATCTATTGCGACGAATTATTTTCAATGATGTGTTTTCTCTCTCTCCCTCCCTCTCTTCCTCCCTCTCTCCCCCTCTCTCCTTCCCTCTCTCCCTCCCTCTCTCCCTCCCTCTCTTTCTCCTTTATTATTATTATTATTTTTTTAAATCATGAAACACTTTCTTTTTGAAACTATTATTGGAAAAGGAAGTATGTATGTAATATAGGTGAAGGAATGGTGCAAGATATTTTGTGTGATGAATAACTAATTAAAAAAAATTAATTAAGTAATTAATTAAGTAAATTCTTTTAGAATATGGTTGAATATAACGTAGACAAGTATATTACTCAATGTTAAAGTATTCGTTAATGTCTCTATCGCCAGAATACATTTGTTTAAATTGTTATGATAACATGTCATTTTTATTTCTTTTTTCTTAGATTGTGTCGAGTTTATGGTATAAGAAGCTCATGTGTAAAGAGGTATATATTGTATATACTGTAATTATCTTAGCTTCGTAGTTAGCTAAAGAGTGATTTAAAAGTGAGAGTGCAAATACTAGTGTCCTTCGAGAATATGAAATTGATAGAATTCTACGGTTTATGTAATTTCTATGAATAAAGATGCCCTGAATACTTAATGTGAAACGATAGAATTAATTATAAGATTGTACGTGTAAAAAGTGACAACGAGTTCTCGTATTCGTTAAACCTGTTTTACTATTAGTAGAATATTGTAGAATATAGAAATAATCGAAAGTAAATATAAATTCGCGAATGGCTTAATAATAATTATTGGTCCATTGCAAAATTTTGCATTTCATTTTTTTCAATATTAAATACCTTGGTTATCTGTCAATTATCTTCCTCGATGATAAACGATCCAAGAGATAAGTCTAATTAATCCATATCTTCAATAACGAACTTTTCTTCTTTCTTGAAAAACTTTCAATGAGGCTGACTCACAAAACTATTTTGAACAAGGTTTTAGCCGGCTGGAGATGATCATCATAAGTGACCACGAAGATACCTGTAATAACAGTGAGGAGAACGATACTGCACTATACCTAGTATAGTATAGTTCCTACTCCCTCTACCATCTGTCCACCTCTTCCCATGGATTTCTTCTTGTCTTCCTCTAAGACTTACCGCTTACTTGACAGTGAAAGTGTTCTCTTACTATATACACACCTATCTCTTCTCTTAATGTATACCTACGCTTAATATTGTATATATATATATATCTATTTGTACATTCTCCAAGAATAGACACAAGACTATTGCGTTAGCGTTAGGATAGATTGCACCAATAAATTTCTATTACTTCCGTTATACCCGTATTTAACAAGAACAGATATTTTAGTTTTATATTAGGTTTATACTTTGTCGCGATTGTTTATTTTCAGAGAAAATCGATCATAGAGCCAGTCTCTCATGGAGAGATCTAATTTATTCTAACTTCGTAATAGTTACGCATAAAATAACTCAGTGATTAGTACAAAGTACGATTACAACATATTTGCTTTAATTAATATAAACTGGTTCAATGCCGATACTCGTATAGGTCTTATTCTATTTGTAAACGTGCTTGTGTATTTTGTTTTTTCTTTCCTATTTTTATGAAAGATGCCATTAAAGATAATTTATTTTCTAATTGTGTTTAGGAACAATTGTAAGTAGTGAATTGTTTTCTAACCGATGTCTTTTTCTGCTTAAATATTTTTTTAAGCAGATTTCTCGAGTGATATTCCTCGTTTCTATGTAGGTACGTTCTTTGTTCAAAAAAATTATAAGTATTTTGGAAGATTTAATTGTTAATATTTTTAGATGTCTTACTTGATATGTTCGAAGAGTATCAAGAAACATGTGAATCCGATTTCAAGTTTTCACATGAATATCCGGTTTAACATGTTTCCTTTTTTGTATACATTTCATGTATTTTAACGTTTAGTAAACGATAGTACATGACAACTCGATAAGGCTTCTGCTTTCACTATTCTCGCACGTTCTGCCGAAGAATCTGTGAAATTTATAAAGCGCAATATACATATCACGCATTTATCTTTCTTCTTGCTATTAATAGATACATATTTTATCTATGTAGTTAATAATTACCAAGTTCAACTGATTTATGTTCATCGTATTATCGATGAGAAAATCGAATGAGAAGCAAAAACTAATCGCATGAGAAAAGTTTTAACGAGAAGGTATAAAGATAGTTACGTAAAGAAACATTTAGCTTCATAGATAATAATCTTGATACCATTCTTTTCGTAAAAGTGTATTGCGAGGAGAAAATTTAACGAGAAAGTTGCATTGCCATTTCTTTTACTAATAGGTTCATACATGGATGAGTCTCTGTAGTTGTACGTTGATTTAAATTTTTCTGAGACCGTAGTTAACATTTGAACTTTCAACAACACTTATTATTTTATTTTTTACTTCTGAATAAAATTATCTAAGAGTTTCGAAATGGCACATTTCATTTATTTCACAGAACAAAAAAGACAAGTTTATCAAGCTAAATACTTTTGAATCTCTATTTGCAAAGTATCCCTGAGTTTATCATGACAATATAAATACATATAATTAAACTAATATACATTATAAATAATAATTATAACATATAAAATTATTGACTTATGTGAATTAAAATTATTTACAAAGTTCTTTCTTTTAATATTTCCAGTCCTCTTTAATAATATCGCTTGCTTTTTCGCCGATCATGATAACTGGTGCATTAGTATTTCCATTAACAATGGTAGGCATTATAGAAGCATCAACGACTCGTAAACCTTTCACGCCGTAAACTCTTAATCTTGGATCCACGACAGCTGTTGGATCGTTTCTTGGTCCCATTTTACACGTACCCACTGGATGATACATGGTGAAGGTAAATTGTCGTATAGCGCACTCCCAATATTCATACGTAGCGAAAGGAAATTTTTGACAGCCTGGTAGTTTAATAGAATATGGTCTCGAACCAAATCTTTGAAAGGCACTTGTGTTTGAAACAGCCATAGCAATTTGTATACCGTCTATCAGGATGTCTACATCTTCTTTGTGAGCGAAATAATTCGGAATAATATCAGGATGAGTCAAAGGATTTCTGCTTTTTAGGCGAATCCATCCTGAACTTCTGGGTTTCAATAAAAGTGGTAATATTGTCCAACTGTCAGCATTTTTTAGTGGTTTGAACACCGTATTATAAACGCTATCTCTTAGTCCGACAAACTTGGTTACTGATTCACCATCGGAATTGATGGAACTTGGAAGAAAGTGAAATTGAATGTCCGGATAAACGCCAGAAGGATCAGCGTATTTAGAATTGATAAAGGCCAAGGCTTCGATTCCTGGAGTAGTCAGGGGCCCTTTGTTATATATTGCATAATTCAGTAATATTGGTAGTGTCTGTAGACGGTCCCTTTTTAAAGTAATTGGTTCGTTCACTGTAAAGCTCAATCCACCGAGACCAACATGGTCCTGAAGATTGTCACCTACTCGAAGATCAGATAATACCGGTATACCGAGTTCCTTGAGATGCTCTTTCGGTCCTATGCCTGAGAGCATTAGCAATTGTGGTGAATTGATCGCTCCAGCTGACAGAATGATCTCTCTCCTTACCCTAACTGTTTGTTTTAAACCATCGCGTAGGAACTCTATTCCTGTAGCTCGCTTGTCGGCATTGAAGAGGACTTTCAATACTTGAGCTTTCAAAGCTATGTGCAAATTCCGTCTGTTCTTTACTGGCCATAGAAAAGCTTTAGCTGACGAGCAACGACTTCCTCTGCGAATCGTACCCTGCATAATCATGAAACCAGTCTGACTTTCACCATTGATATCACGATTTTCATAACCGAGTTCTTGTCCAGCTTGTAAAAAGGCAATCGATAATGGTGATCTCCATGGTGGTTCCTGTATTGTTAAGTAGCCTCCCGTTTTATGGTAAGGTGATCTTTGCAAATAAGGGTTTCTGTTATCCTCAGACTTGAGAAAGTAAGGAAGAACTTCCTCGTAACTCCAGCCGGTATTACCCATTCTTGCCCATTTGTCGTAATCCAATCTAAAATAGAATTACTTGCTATTAGTAATAATAATCAACGTGTAATAACGTCAGAGGTTATTATAAAAAGGTTTCTCGTTTCTCACGTTTTTCACTTTATGGGTATAGGTATTAGATATACATATATTATATATACTATTAGATGTACATACGTATGTAGAACGTAATACGTCACGTAAGTAAAGAAGAATTACCTGTTGCCGCGCACATATATCATGGCATTTAGGACACTGCTACCACCCAAAACCTTTCCACGTGGCCAATTACACCTGTCTCCTACCATCGCGAGACAATAAGCTGATGTCATTGACGGCATGGTTTGATATTTCCAATCTAATTCAGATAATTGGCCGTAGCCAGCGAAAAGTGGTATGTTAGAAATTTCGTTTTCATTATCACCAGCCTCTATTAACAATACGCTCCAATTGGATACTTCGGATAATCTCGAAGCTATCACTGCTCCTGCACTTCCACCTCCCACAATGATGAAGTCGTACATTCGATTTAACTGGAGAATTCATTATCGAAAATAATTTACATCTTATTTATGTCTAGAAAAAAAAAGATGATTGAAGAAATTAAAATTAATAATTTACCTCGCGAGTATTTTTCGGAGGAGATTCAGGATCCATTTCATCGTATCTGTATAACGATAGTCCGATTGCCACAAGTGGTATCAAACCGACTCCTACGGCGGATGTCGTAGCAATTAAGGAAACCAAACCTATTGTCATTTCCTAGATTTATTCACCTTAATTTTTTTAACATAATATCGTCGCAGATATTGCGTTAATTATAAAATTATTCTTCGAAAATAATTATTTACACACCATCACTGTTTGTTTTATCGAGTATTTTGCTATTCGAATTTTGTAACTTTTAAATCATAGACACTTTCTTCAATTCAGATATTATGTTATAAGAAATAACTTGCTTAAAACTTGTCCATACTTTTCTCTTAAATATACCGGCGAAACACCGTAGACTAAGAGCAGTGTAAAGAGTTGCAATGCCGACGGTGTATTGAATACTGAGAGTGAAATCTTGTCAGATTCTCGGGCATCGCATCGACTTACTAGGTGAGGACGATTGTATAGCTAAAAAGAAAAAGTATCGAAACGTATTATCAATTTTTTCAGAGTGAAACTAATTTCGATGTGACTCTCTATTCGTTGTTTATATTTTATTTCATTATTACAAAAATGTGAATATGCAAATGTGCCGGAATATTAATTTAAGTTCTTCATTAAAATTACTTGACTTTTGAAAGAATTAAAAGAATTAATTTATCGTTTGTCAAAATGAATTTCAATGAATCCAGTTGGTGAATGGTGGACAATAAAAATTAGATTTGCATGTGTAACGTATGGTTTTAGTGAATACGAATTCTTTTTCGTTGACGTCACGAAAGAGAATCCATTCTCGGATACTTTCACCTTTATGTGGTATATATGTTATATACTTTTTCATGCCTCTTCTTTGAGATATTTGTGAAAGTATTCACATAAATAGTACTAATTTGATTATTTTTATTACGTTTTCGTTATTTCTACAAATATTTTTATTAATCTCAATAGAAAAAGAATATTTTTAATTTGCTTTTAAATAATAATTTCAATAAAAAGAAAAAGAAAGGATAGGAAAAGTCGTTACGTTCGAATTACATTTCACTTCAAGACAATGTTCCAGTGCCTTCTTTCGGTGTTCTACTTTTCCTTCGAGAGTAAGAAGAAAGGCTGGTTCAGTCGATTCTAACTAGTTCTATATTGGTTTTACGTGATTTAATGTAGTAAAATATTTTTACTTTATTATCTCTTTTGCATTGTTATGTCGCACATATCGCAAACAAATATGCATTTCTTTATATCGAAATGCGTGTTGCATTTTAATAAGTCTCGAAGAAATGGAATCTCTCTTACTTCCTTGTTGTGATACAGAATTGACATTCCACACGAAGAACTGCATCGTGCTCAACGTTACGATATCTTTTCGTTTTGTTTTTTTTAATATTGAATGAAAACAAATATCAATGTAAATATAAAACAATATTTTTCAATTTTATTTAAAAATTTAGATATGTTTCGTAATAGAAATTTATTTAACCGACATTATCGCGTTCAAGGAGTGTGAATGAAGTAAGAAGAGATTTTATCTATAGACTTTATCAACAGATTTTGCTTAGAGAAGGCGCTCTTTTCTCAAGAAAGTTATCCACGTAAAATTACATTGAAAATGTATGCGAGTAGAAAGCTGCAGTGTCTTTGAAGTGCTTTTTCAATCAATATTGCGAAAAACGTTTAAAAAAGAAATTTCTTTTTTTGAAATAATAATATTAATATAAGCTATAAGAATGTTTTTTCGCAATAGAGAATGAATCCGAATTGCTTCGATGTTATTGTTATATTTTCGTCTCTAAATTTGTAATAAAAACAACGTACGTATTTTATTCGCATATTGGCAGAAACGATTCTAATCGTCTATAAAAAAATTATATTTTCACAATAGCAAATTCTCGATTTAGACGTTCGAAAAAGATTTAATCCATTGGATTTTTTTCTCTTTGTTTTTTCATAAAAACTATGACAAATAATGTAGTTCGATTTTTTTTTTTTAATTTATTAGCTATTTATTATTTGCAAAAAAGATATACTTATTTTTTTTTTTAATTTTTATCCCTTTATTGTGTAGTATATGACGTTGAAAATCTCTATTTTTCGTATCTATTTTCAATATCAATTTTCCGCAACAACGGCGAGAAAAATTATAAATCATAAGTTGAGAAAAATTTCAAACAGATTCTTTATTTGTTATAAGGAATATTGTTGTTGGAATGATTAAAATAAAAAATGAAGCATTCTAGAAAATTTAGTATCGATTTTCATTGAATCTTTTTTTTTACAATTTTCTGATTCTTAAAATAAGAAATTTTCAGAGTAAAAAACTGTTAAATCAAGCTATAATAGTATAACATATATTTTTAATAACTTTTAAAATTTATTTTAAATTTTAATTTACAATTGAATTAATAGAAAAACTTGAAAAAATGGGAATTCCAAGTACTGCAACTGTATGGTCAAATCAATTGAAAAATTGTATGTTTTCTTCTGATGAAGAAATGAGAAAGGGAAACAGAGTTATGAAGGACTGATATAAATTGTAAATGCTGTGAAATGGTCTGATAAAATACTGTTGATTGTTGACGAAAACATTTTTAAATGCGCTTTTTGCATCGTATCAGCGATGATAGTCGATTCACATGGAGGAAATGTCCCCCGTTTCGTCCGAGCTATAGACTCACTGATAGCGATGAATGAGGGCAGCGGCACTATGCTAGTATACCGTTTGTAGGCCATCAGCAAAATACCGCTCGCCGCGTTCCCGCAAATTAATTGGAGAACGTGCGTTCTTTTAAAGGATCCCGTGAGAAATGGAGAAGTAATTGCGCGATATTAAATGATGCGCGCTATGCAAATCTCACCGTGTATTTGATTGAATGAATTACAATTGTTTGTGTATCTCGTGTATGATGTGCAGTTAGTTGTACTGGTTGCTTCTGAAGAAAGCTTGAGAGTTTAGATGCTGTGAGTCTGAAAGATGTGGCTTGACTCATTCTTTTGCCTATTTTGAACTATCCACGTAAACTTAAATGAGATTGGTAAAAGGCGGAATTTGATATATGGAAAGGGAAAAAATAAATGCCCATTGGTCGGGGATAGTTCATTGGAATGTTTAAACATTCCATGTATGCCCCTTTGTTCTAGTGGTGTGTGATTAGAGGTTGATAATGGATATTATAAAGCTAGAAGCCAGATAAACCTTGGCTTATGGCGCCTAGGTGTCTACTTTCGTTATTTACTTATTAGCCGGATTGACAGACAAAGGTGACCACGTGGTTTTATCTATGCGCTTTGTTAGTTAATATCCAATAGGTTCCCACGGATAAATATTTCCAATGGTGATACATAACCCTTAAGATAAAATACCGCGAACAATGAAGAGACGCACGCGTGCGTCAACAAGTACTTATTATGTACATTTTATGGAGTATAGCCAATAAGTACAGTAATATGATGAGATAAAAAATCTTAAAAAAGCATTGACATTGAAAGCCCAAATATAGTAAAATTATATAATTAATAAAATAAAAAGTATTATCGTATTGTGTTCTGTCTATTGGATTTGATAATAATAAATGCTTGGCTTTTATATAAGAAGTCATTGTCTATTACATAATGTTTGAAGCAAACATCAATATAGTCATCTACATTTTAAAACACAAATTGTTTTTTATTTAAGTCAAGGACGAAAAGGAGGTAAAGAGGAAGGATGTCCTATGTCATATTCAGTATATGAAAAGTTACAAAGAAAGGAAATATGAGGACCAATTGCAGTTTCAATCAAATCCATTAAAAAAATGTGCAAATAAATGAAATAGCTCATTGATCAATCTTTTCTGATAAGACGGGACTTTGTAAAATCCCAGAATGTAAAGAATGTTAATTCTGAAAGTAAAATGTTTTATGGACTTTCACATTTAAAATATATTATATGCATATGTAAATATTGTACTCCAGTGTAATTTCAAAGTTACAAATTGTTTTTTTTTTAACAAAATAAAAAATGGTAAAAATCAATTTGATAGTTTATATCGTAATGTTATATAATTATATTTTAAACAAGAACAGAATTGGATCATTACGATTGGATCTTAACGATAGAAAAAGAAAAAGGAAACGTAAACCTTAAAAAACAAGTGTTCAAAACATTCAATCTGTTTTCATAATTACTTTACACAACGCAATAATAAAAATATATATTTTACTTTCGTTTGCAGACCTATTCCAACTGTCTAATGTTGATCGAAAGAGGATGAGAAAGAAAGAAAAAACAAGTGTTCAAAACATTCAATCTGTTTTCATAATTACTTTACACAACGCAATAATAAAAATATATATTTTACTTTCGTTTGCAGACCTATTCCAACTGTCTAATGTTGATCGAAAGAGGATGAGAAAGTCTCATTGCTTCTCTTTCTTTTGGACATCCAGTCCTTTTTTATGAGATCTGAACCTTTTTCACCAATCATTATTACAGGTGCATTGATATTTCCACTAGTGATCGTAGGCATGATCGAAGCATCGATCACTCGAAGTCCTTCTACTCCATATACTTTTAAAGAGGGATCTACGACCGCCATTGGATCAGATCGTGGTCCCATTTTCGCAGTACAGCTCATGTGATAAATTGTCATTGTGTATTGACGAATTGCACATTCCCAATATTCATCCGTGAACATTGGAAGATGTTTACAATTTAGCAATGACTTACTGTGAAATCTTATCCCTAATCTTTTCATGCTACTCGTTTCAGAAAATGCAATTGCTGCTTTGACTCCTTCTCGTAAAACATTAACATCATCAGGATTCGTTAAATAATTGTGATACATTAACGGATAATCGAGCGGATTTTTCGATCTTAATTTCACATATCCTCGAGATTTAGGTCTGAGTATCATTGGAAAAATGTTGAAACTATCATGATTAATGATTTCTCCATCGGCTTTATTATGCAAATCGTCCGTTACGCAGAAGTAATGCAAAATATCTTTAACGTTATTTATCGCGATAGAGTCAATCATGAATTCTATATCTGGCCAATCGTCCGTCTGATTGGCATATTTAGTGGATAAAAAGCCTACTACTTCGAGACCAATACTCGAGGTTAGAGGACCATTCTCGGTAATTACATATTTCAATATGGTGTTTATATTCAATAAGCGATTATAAACAATGCTGATC